AAGCACAAGTTTTAGGACCAAACCTGCAGCATCTCCACCAGCATCACATGGTGGCATAGGGAGCTGGATGAGGTCTGAGCACCTTTGCAGCAAGGTCATCCCAGCAGACAGGCCAACACCTCTGCAAGCAAGTGCTCTAAGATGAACCTTCATCAGCCCAAGTCATCAGGCACCTTGACCTCAAGTTGGTGCCACCATCTCTGGGGGACCCTTTGGCCAAGTTCCACCAGCCCCTGCACCACCTGTCAGCAGACACAATGTCCCAGCAACCTGGCTGACCAGAAAAATCCACTCCAGCCACAGCTGGAAAACTTATCCCTCCCTGAGAGCCTTCCCTGCCTGCTTTGGGCACCCTTTCTGCAACCAAACCATCATGTTCTTCATTAAGGGCAAGAAGGATTTACACTAACAGCTCTCACACAACTAACAGAGCAGATCTCCCATGTCTTGACCCTCTGCCTGTCCCAGCACAAATACCAGGCTCCCCCCAAAAGGCATCATCTCTGCAGCCTCACTCCACCCTAACCCCAATTTCCTTCTAACAACACCTCCTACCTTGCAGGAGCTGAAGGCAGCAGCTGGGAAGCTCCATGCACACCATTCCCAGGAGCACAGAGGTTGGGGCAGATGGGAACATCTGGCCTTGGGTTTTCCATCCTGACCATCCCTCACAGGCTCCTCTCCTGCATCACCAAGTGACTGCAACAACCACCTTGATGTGGCTGCAGGGTTGAAAATGCCCAGATATTGTTGTGCCACTTGCCCTGGGCTGCACCAGCTGCTCCATCCCAGGGGGTTCCCTGCAGCTGAGCTCCACCAGCAGCCCCTGGGAGGGGTGACCCCCTCTGTACTGATGCCACCAAGCAGCAGGCAGGGACCAGCTGCTGCACCACTAGAACTGCTGCATGGCAGGTTGCTGTTACCATCTGCAGCTTCCCCTGGAGTTTTGGGTGAGGTTCAAGTCATGCATGTGCAGAGAGGGTGTGTGAGCATGTGCTGCTACTGGTGGGGTTTAAATCACTTGAGTTAATGGGCAAGAAACGCACTAAGATTTAAAATAATAATAATAATAAATTACAAGTTCTGGAAGAGAAGAGTGACCTAGAAATCCAATTGTCCTCTGAATGTCAATTGCACTAAGTTGTGAAACTAAGTTTGCTAATTAAACTGAAGCAGGAGATCTGAGTGGTGCTCCCAGTGCTCATTTCATCTCCTCCTTAAACCATGAATCTTCTGCAAGTCCCACAGCAATAACAATAAGAACTTTTGGAGAGAGGTGCCAGGTTCCCAGAGGCTGCCAAGCCCTTCAGCTCCTCCAGCAGCCCCTTCCTAGAGATTCTCCTCCCTCCAGCTGCAGGAAGAGGGTCTCCAAATCACAGAAGTGCTGGAGTTGGAAGGGACCTCTCGAGCTCATCTGGTCCAGCTCCTCTGCTAAAGCAGGATCTCCTGAACACATTCCACTTTTGAATCTCCAGGGATGGAGACTCCCCACCCTCCCTGGGCAGCCTGTCCCAGGGCTCTGTCACCCTCCCCATAAAGAAGCTTCTCCTCATTTAAATGGAACTTCCCATGTTCCAACTTGTGCCCATTGCCCCTCGTTCTGACACTGGGAACTACTGAGAAGAAATCACCCCTCACCTTCACCAACCATTCAACCCCAATGCTGGTTCCTCTGGGGGAAAAGCCTGTCCCCAGCATGAACCAGCAGTGGAGGATCTGTGGAAAGAGTTTTTTTTAAACTTCCACCTCCCTTCCAGGGCCCTTAACCCAGTGCTGAAGCACAAGGGTCTCCAGTTCCAACAATTCCCCAGGTCTAATTGTGCAGGGGAGAGGATTTCCACTACAGACACCACTTCCAGTTATTTCTGGTTGCTACCAGACAGGAAACACAGCAAAAGCAGGGAAGTGCTGCCTGAGCTCCTGGCTCCTGCAGTGCCCTGTGGTGACACTTCAACAAGGTGCCGATGCACAGAGATGTGGCTTCACTTGCTGGCCAAGGGATTTCCAGGGGCAAAACACACAAAAAAACAAACCAACAAACAGGCTCTGGAGAAGCACATCCACATCTCTGCCACCTCCCTGGGGACCACCAGCCAGCCAGGCCACAGGAGCTTCATGAGGAACCAAAAGCCTTTCACAAAACAGACCCGCAGGGGAACGGCGTCAGTTGTGCCTAATGATGAGGTTCCCCCGTTAATTAAATCCCTTGGAACCCCCCATGGGGAGGCAGGGGTGGGCAGGATGGCAGAGCTCTGTCCTCCCGTGCTATTTTGGGGTCACTGAAGTGGTGTTTGGGTGGCCAGGGCAGGCTCTGCTCATCAATCATTCACAACTTTTATTGCCTTCCAGCGTGGAGAGGAACGAGCCCTTTGGCTTCTTCCAAGGGCATCAGCACCCAGGAACTGCCCTGCAAATGCACCTACAGCCACAGCAACCTCATTTCTTCTTCCTGCTCTGTTGACCCAATGGATGTTTGTCCCAGCTGCAGCCTGGGGCATCCTAAGAAGATGCCAGGTCATTTTGTGTGCCCTGTTTTGGGAACCCTCAGTGGGAGGCTCCGTGTGACCCTGCTGAGCTGGTTCAATCTCACAGTTGGATGCTCAGTGTTCACTCTTACATTTATTCAAGGAAAGAAGAAACATCCCTGCTAAAAACCCTACATTTTAAAGACCAAAACCTGAGAGAGAGATTCAGCATCACCAAGGTAACAGCTGGGCCAGAAAAAACAGGAAAGAAATTAACATGAGTTGATCAAAGGGGAAAGAAATTGATTTTTTTCCCCCTTTCTTCTCAAAGTGCAGCTTATGGGGCCATAACCTCTGCACTGAGCTCCCTGGTTGTCTCTTACAATTTGACCCAATGACCCTGCTCCTTGTCCCATGGTGGGTGTCAATAACCAGGGCACATCCCCTCTACCCAGCACATCTGAAGCTCCAGCACAAGAAGATCCGTGTCAGCCTGAGCCCCAGGCAGCCCCCTCCCCACCAGAGCCTGGAGGAACCATTGCTGGTGAACACCAGCCCACTTTTCAACCCCCCCAATTATGGTCCTCCAGGTGGGGGAGCCCAAATTCCTGCACTCACTTGGTTCCTGGCTCCTCTAGGTCCTCTCTCAGCATGAAGCATCAGCCTCCTTCAGTCCTGCTGCAAAGGGGGAGAACAAAAAAGAAGTTTAAAAATAAATAATAATAACAAAACATAAAACAAACAAAAAAACCCCAACCCCCCCCAAAACCAACCCCCTCAAAAAAACCCCAACCCAACAAGAACCCCCCATGCCAAAACTAAACAAACAAAACACCCCAAACCAACCAACAACAACAATAAAAAAACCCCATCCCAAAAAATACAAGAAAATAACTGCTCAGTCTTGCAGGGGCCTCCTGTGGGGTGGGACCTGCCATGGGAGGACTTTTGTTCCTCCTGACACTTCCTGGAGTTTCTGGAGCCCTGCAGAGCAGCAGCAAAGTGTCCTCAGCACATCTTCAGGGAGGAGCACAGCAAAGGTATTAAAATATAATAATTAATAGTAATAATAATAGAGCTGCTTGTGTTCACCTGGCCCAGCCCAGCATGTAAAGTGTTGGTGAAGAACCTGCTGATGAACTTGCTGTTCTTTCACTAATCCTGTTTCATGATGTCTTTTCAATTTGGGTTGGATCTTGGTGGCAGGAGGTGTCTCCCTGCTGCAAACCAAAAGGGT